AAGGTTCACAGGGGACACAAAAAAGTGATGAACTGTGTTATGTACTTGGGAAACTTGCCGTGCGGGCTGCAAAAGCAGGATAGATATTTGTTACAAATATTATTAGCGAGCAGTAAAAAAAAAAAAAAGCTATAACCAGGAAATGGCTGAATAAGGAGTCTCCAACAACGCCTGAATGGATAGAAATAGGTCAGGAAATTTATATTTCTCCCGGAGATATGCTGCTGAAAAATGTGAAAAATACTGGAAGAAAAGGAAATGTCACCTAACTGAGGTGATTTCTATATTGTGTATTTGTAATGTTGGATGGGCTTTATTTTGTTACCTTTGTGCTGAGATGATCAGAGTGGATTGTGGGTGGAGGATATTTTTCATAAATATATATATTGTCTTATATGAATATCAAGCTTCTTACCTGACCTATGATGACCCTGTCTGTTGTTCGTTCTGTCGTCTGTTTGTGTTGTGTGTTTTGTTTTTGTCTGTTTTGCTGTTTAAAAAAAAAAACAATAAAAAGAAAGTTTAAAAAAATAAAACTTGCTTTGTAACTTTTGACTTTTGGTGTTAAAAGCATTGAACGCCAAGCGCGTCCCAGCCAGGTTCATCACTTTTTTGTGTCCCCTATAAACATATTTCGGTTGACTGTATTCGGTTGTGTCGTGTGTACTTGCAGCACATGTGTTGTCTGATTGTACTTGTTGGATTTTACACTCTAGACCAGAGCTTTTCAAAATGGGAGGCTTCGAACAGTTTCAGGGGAAGCTCAATGAATGGAAGGACAAAAGTAATACAAGTTATTACAATTTTACAGTTTTTCCCACTTTCCCAGAGTCAGAAAGTAGTAAAAGCTTCAGGGCAGACCTTGTTTATGTATTTGGTTCAGTCTCACATTATGTCAAACAGCAGTTTTAGGCTATCTTGACTCAATTGTTGAGTATCTACGGGCTCAAATAACAATCATCAACTACAGTGGGGTGAGTCTCAGGCTTTGAAAAATCCTTCTCCAGACCAAAGCCTCGGCCTGACAGACTGACAAACAGACAGACCCTTCCACCAATCACTATCTTTGTCTGTGTACGTGTGCACCTCTTTGCATATAAAAGATACGGCTAACAGATGTGCTCATTCTTCTCTCCTTTATCAATGCCTCATTGCCTCCCATACGTGTGTGCAACTTTAAATCCTGGTGTAGAAACTCTCACAGCCTGGCATAAACATATATCCGTCTGTCACTCCTCCTCAGCGACAAGGCCCATTCATTTTTCACTGAAAACAAGGTGCTCTCATTAGGAGCCGAACACTGCGATCATGTTCTGTCACCGCCGTCTTTCTGCCTCGGCAACTGTTGCACTGGTTCTGCCTGGGAAGATCAGTGATGTGCCACTTGTTTTGAGCGTTGTTGCAGCGTTCGAGTAATTTCAGCTCACACTCTGCAAGCTGAGCACTTCCCTGCGGATCGATACGCAAGTCAGGTAAAGGGAGATGCTGTGCTGTGTTTCTTTATTATGTAGTTTCTCTATGGGTACATGGGGCGCATTGATCAAACGGCTTCCACTTGTGGTCTAAGGAAGCTATTAGAAAGTTCATTAGATAATTACTTGTATTGATCTCACCTGAAAGACAGAAAGAACCGAGGCCTCCCTGTGCATTTTTGACTGCAATTTGCGAAATTACAGATGCCGTCTGTGCAGCTGAATTTATGCATGACTCTTTCACATGGGCCGCTGAGCTTCTTTTTGTCCTCACTCCCAAAACTGAGTCTACTTTTGCATTACAGATGCTGACAGAGTGATCATTATAGATTCAAACAGAGTCGGCTTACAATTAGGCTTATGATTACAAGCAAGCCTGAACTGGCAACAGTGGCTGTTGTTGCGCTGTGTCGGTCTGCACAGCACATCAACTTTGTGATATGCCAAAAACTTCCACCATCTATAGTAGTGATGAAACAGCAACATTAGTGATTCATTAAAAAGACAGAAAATTAATCAAACAACTGAAACAAGCTCATTTAAGTTATATATCAAGCAAAAATGCCTTTTCAGGATCCAGTTTCTCAAATGTGAGGGTTTGCTGTTTTTCTCTTCTAACATTTCAAGTTGAATATCTCTGTTTTTTACACTGTTGGTTGGGTGGAGACTTGGAGACATCTCTTTGGAGTCTGGAAAACTGTGATAAGCATTTTGTTCTGATATTCTTATAAGAGAAGGAAGAAATCAAAATATTAATTGTTAATTGGAATCAGTGATTTTGAGATTTCAATTATATTCTTGACCTTGGAAACGGTTCACAAAATAATCTCAGCACAGTGGTTATTCTGGAGCTTTTGATCATATCACACCATCTTCCTCAGACATTGGCGGCTGGGGAAAACTATCTGTTTGGAAAGATTGTGTGCTATGATCAAAAGCTCCAGAACAGCTGCTAAAGGGACCCCGTGCTGAGACTGTTTTGTCAGAAACAATTGTTAGTTGCAGTCCTGATGCACAGTACTTACACA